CTCAAATTTGTCTTTTGCATATGTAACTAGAAGAGTTCTACTACAATGCATCAAAACCTGGAGTTATTTTGCCAAAAAATAAAAAAATTGGAGGGGGTACTCTGACAGGCTTTAAAAAAATAGCTTTTTTTGTGGGTCACATTTTGATTTTTCTAACCTATTAGATATGCAAACTTTTTAAATCTTTTTATTGTGTTACGTAGCCTCAGTATTAGGTCTTTAATGCCCATTGACAAAATTTTTCTATGTCAAATGGTTTTTGAGTTTTGGGGGTTTTTGTTAAAAAACCAAAAGTGGTCAAAGTTACCCCGGGAGTCAAAGTTACCCCAGTTTATGGTATATATATATGGCTGCTCATATGAAGCTCGCAGTGAATGAGGTCCTTTTAAATGCTCAATGGCATGTCCATGGGTGATGGATATGGTTAAATTTATATATCACATCAATAATAGGGTTAGGCCATTAGGGTATTAAGGGGGGAGCACAGCCATGCATGTGCACCACCAATTATGTGCACCAATAAGCCATGAATCAACCGCCTTGGATCTCTCCGGACCTACACCAATCAGCCGTGAGCCGTGCACCACTCAGGCTGACTCAGCTTTGTCTTCCTTCGGCCTTGACCACCACCTGCCTTGCACCACCAGGCCGTGGATCGAATATGACTTCCAGGCATTGTTAAATTACATAATTTTACTTTCACCGCATCTTAGGTTGTTTCAGATAGCATAGTTCTGTTCCAAAATTTATCGTCCTTTGACAAGTGGCCGTTCGACCAAGGGCTGGTTCGACCCACGGCCTAGATACGGACGGCTTGAAAGTTGAAGTGTTGAAGGCAACGTTCCGGAAGGCAGGAATCATGATGGTCCATTACATCTAGGGCAGTGGTGGTCTTTGGCAAATTGGCACGTGCGAATTTTAAGGGTAATATATGGACATGGTAATATATCAATAAAAGAAAAACAAGTAAAAATCACAGAAAGTGTCATTTATTCTACATCTACAAAGGAAGAGGACTTCAGAGTACTGTTAGTAATGGAATCCATTACTTTACCGAGTGTACTCATCCATTAAATGGATG